ATAGTTATTTTCAAGGACTGGAATTCTAAAAGTCTCCTTTTTAGCGAATCCAGTTCCGGCATATTCTTTTTGTGAGAAGAAATAGTTTGTTGCATATTTATTTTCTAGGACTTGAATTCTAAAAGTCTTTTTTTATCGAATCCAGTATTGCAGATGATTGCTTTTTTCAAAGCATATATACGATACAATCACGTCCAGCATACCTTATACTTAAATTGTGCGGTCTTTACTTGTATCATCAACATACCAGACCACATTGTCTTTTACGTCGATTCTTCATTAAAACCAAAACACCCATAGAACCTCCGAATAAGCAAGATGGACGTTACTTGAAACAACCGTTGACTTTCGCCCTTGAAGAAGGCCAGGAGGCCGAATTATTGAGACTTAGAGTGCCTTTTGTATCTTTTTTTCCCTTTGGAAATCATCTGTTGTTTATTATATTCCGTCTTTGCGTATTGCAGAGTTATTTTCTCTAGGGAGCAAGTATTTATTGTTACGTCATTGGTTTGTGCGAGAAAATGACGTCGTTTTCTCAAAAATTGATGACGTTACTCTCACAAACAAGTGACGTAACAATCAATACCTGATCCCAAGAGAAGATAACTCTGCAATACGCAAAGAAACAATAGAGTACATTTTAGCATTTATAAACATTTCCTTGTAATCTTGCTAGTGGTCTATCAATTGGATATGCATGTACTTTTAACATAACATATATACAGCTGTCACAGCCGAACCAAAGCAATTAAAGCTCCGTAAGTGTTTGTAAATTGGGACAGTGAAAATCTAATATATTCTGAGATCGTATATTAACGGAAAGTGGTAATAGGGCGTCATTACAGAAATACGCGAAGCATGGATGACAATGAAAACATCCAGTTCCTGCAATTTCAGTCAGGAAACCATAATGCCGACATGGAGACTAACATAAATGCTACACCTAGCAATACAGTCAAACAGCAAGAAGACATCAATGGAATTGAAATTGGTGCTGATGTCCGAACTAAACAATCGACGCTTATTTACGGGATTAACGATAATCCCCCTATAGCTCTAACGGTACTATTTGCTTTTCAGGTGAGTTGATTTCATTCTTATCATCATCATCATCATCATCATTATCATCATCATCATCATCATATTTCATACAAGGAAATTGATTGAAATAATGAACATGTTTATCAAAATACATTTTCGCTTAAAAAGATTGATATTAAGTGTTTATGTGGTCTGGTTATTGTCACAGTCTTAAATCACTACTACTACAAATTTTGCTGGGTTTGCCTATAAATGTTGATCGACAACGCTTAAACGATATCATGTGTTTTCGTTTAATTTAGTCAGACTTTGGAAAGGACTAGTGCGGTAAAATGCGTTGCATAGGAACATTATATGGCGTTGCCTTTACTGTTTATTGGACAGATATATATATTTTGCTGGATATAGTGAAAGTGTAAAAACGAATGTTTTATCTATGATTTTGTCACTTTTTCTGGTTAATACCTATTTGGAAATAGGGATAAAACAATCTTAACGTACAAACTTCATGAATTAGCGTGTTCATATATATATAGAGAACATTACACACCTGATTTCGTTGTCACACCCAATGTCAAAGCGAGACTCCAATATCAGCCCAAGTGCCAAAGGTCCGTGGGCTGATACTTCAGACTCCTATTTGTAAGCTTCAAAGCTTGATATTTACCTAGAGTATGGCCGTTATGGTCGACTAAGTACTAGAATCCATCCCAAACGAATTTAACGATCGTTAACCTGACTTCCAGACAAACTAACCTTTCCTGGTTATGGAGTTTATTGATTGATTCACAATCAGAATTTTTGGGATAAATCACCATGTTGACCAATTAACGAGTTAGCCATGTTATTATGGTCGTTAAATATGTTAGAGCATACACACACAAATGTGACCAAATATACAAAGAATGAGATCATGAGAATTCCTGGTTGAAAATATTTTTGTTGTATTCGGTGATAATAATTCGTTGCAAACTATTATTATATCCATGGAGAAAAAGTGTGCCCCTCTCATAGCTAAAGAGTTAGTGTAGTCTATAATTATAATAATAACAATAATTCGAGGTTCTTATATACCGCTTTATCACAACCTAGTTCGTAGGTCGTCTCAAAGTGATTCACAAATCATTATCCGTGGTTATTGGGCCTTTGCAACCAGCCTATATCGTTCTCAAATCCCTAGGGAGCATACAATCTGTGTGCTGCCATTTCGGCACCCACAGCTAGCATTACTCAGTTCTGGCACTGCCCAACCACGTACTCATTTACAGCTGAGTAGACTGGAACAAGCGGAGTAAAGTATCTTGTTCAAAGATACAACAGAGTGACGTGACGTGACTCGAACCCGAGACCGGCGTGCTACCACTACACTACCGTGCTTCCTGCATTTTATTCTAACTGATATTGTATGTACGTTAGAAAAATGGACAGTTCGTGTTTATAAAACGAAATCAAAATGATGTGATTTTCTCTAATTTCAGCAAACTATTTCTGCTGTTCCGAAGTGTCTCTTCATCGTCACTCTCTTGGCTGAAGTTGTTTGTGCTACAGACGTGGAGAATTTTAAAACACAAATGTTTTCTACAACGATCCTGCTGACCGGACTTTGTACGTTCTTCCAATGTACCTTTGGTGTGAGGTTGGCTTTGATTATTTGTTTCCTTGATACTCTACATATGTCTTTAAATAACTTTTATTTCCATTATTGTTGTTGGGTCGATGTCTCCAAGTAAAATTATCTGATCTAGGTAATATCATAAACATTAGTGAAGAACCCTGTTTCTTTTACACCTCGCCAAAATATGAATATAAATCGGAATTTCAGGTATGCATTTTTACACTCAGAACAAAATAACAGTTGCCAATTTCTTGCGTTTTCTTTTATTTGTAATATTTGACGTCATATTTATTTATTTATTATTTATTTTTCATATTATTTCAAAAGCTATGAAGTGCTATTCAGAATTGATTTATACAAAAAAAACTATCGACATGCAAGTCAAAACAAATATATAGAGACTGTTTATGTCAGTGTTCTTAACCGTACACTCTAACTTAAAATATACTACAGTACAATGTACCTTGTTCGGTTCATCCACTCAATACATCGTACAAATATAAAGTGTTTTGTTAATAAGATGATTCATCTCGTTTTAGCGAAACAGCTGCTGTTTTGTGTTGGGTATTGTTATCATCGAAATAGACTAGTATATCAAGTGCATGTTAACTTTATTATAGTTTAGGATTATTTTTTCGTGCTCGATGAATACATATGACTGTGTTTTGTTTAGAATAAAACTTCATTTTGTCTATCATGGCTTCACGAATAGTTAAGAATTTATCAAGATGAGGTTATGTTTTTTCTGTTTGAATGAATAGTGAAATGTATGAACTATACACCTCTGTATATTCGCACACATGTAACATAGTACAACAGCGCCAGAGATATTTTGGATAGATCTTGTGCTTATCAAATGTGTTCATGTAGGAGGTTTCTACGTGTAATATTTAAACTGGAAGACCTGATTTGTCGGTGTCATTCTTTTCTTTTCATTTCAAATGCATTATTTAATAAATTCTTAAGTTCTGTTAATTTGGCGGTTTAACCTCACCACGAACTCACGAAGAACCCGAAAATGAAACCAACGTGACAATATTCTCATTTAGTATTATCACTTATAAGATCAATACTTAGTTATCAAAAATATATTGAACTATGTGTTATGTATATTTTATAGGACATTGCTTTCGATACTGGCGTCACATATGAATATATTTCAATTTGCATCAACAAATTCATCATCGTAAATTCTTGGCGGCATTACTGTTATACAGGTTAATTTGTTATGTATGTGTGTTACAGATTACACCTTTAAAACAAGATATTGCATCAATAAACATGTAATATCGTGAGATCCATTACTCAGTGAATACAACAACTCCTTATTATGTACATGCTATATAACCAATATAATACAGTACCTTAAATATGTATCTCCTTACAGATTGCCTGTCTATCAAGGACCAGTCACATACTACATTCTACCGTTGTTGGCGCTTTCTGCACTACCGGAATGGAAATGTCCAGATTCCTATAGCGTGATTGCCAGTATGATTCAGTTTTGTATATTTGTTGAGAATAAGGTATATCTTATATATAGAGGTGTTAATGGTTTCCTGTTGGATACCACATATATCACGAGTATGGCAGAATATCGATATCAATCTAGAGTGCGAAGTGAAATAGATGTAATAGGAGAAAGAGAAATGCACGGATAGATCGAGGTTCGAAACCGGGCTCTCTGATCTCTACCAAATGAGCTACCAGGTCGCCGATGACTGACCTATCCTATTTCTGCTACCTAAATATGGTATTCAACGAGAACACCATTATCTTTTCGGTTTATTACATTTTTAAAGTAACAACGGCACAAAAATAGCTGCATCAGAAAAGTACAGGAATTAATAGCGTAATATTTGACGTCCGGTTCTAATGACGTCACATGTGACAACAAGACAGAGCGCAGTTTTTAATCGATTACTCAACGAAATTATTTTGTTTGTTGCTATCATCTGGAAAGATTTTACGCAATAAACAGAAAGTACTTTTCTGAATGCACATAACTGAACATGCTGTATATACACATGAAGATCTGACTATAGTAACGATATTAGGATCAATTAAATGGATAGATCCTGGTATTTCACTGGTAAAACATAGGTTTATGATTATTTAATGAAAATCAAATAGTGGCATTCATCCGAAAGAACCACTTCCAACTTTATTATGAGACTCATTCAAGTAAAGGCCATGATAAAAGGTCTTTGTTGTGGTTGAATATATTTATTGTACATGTAGAAGAAAGGTAAATGCTGAGACCCCTTGGATTTGAAAGTAGATCGGTCCCATACCACTTTACGAAATTATATGTCCCTGGTTTAGCTCATCACCTGTCAGAGTGGAAGCGTTAAAAAACATTTGGATTGCTTCTTAGTTTGATATTGTTCATATTCTACATTTCCAATTTTAATGCACTTAAATATTGCTTTGAAATGCTGAAAAATCATCGGTTCGTATTATTACACAGAAAATTCATCTCTGGTTAACATGACGGATCGTTCCAATTTCTCGAATGGAGATGTCACCCAGAATGGAAATACATTTGAAGAGGCACACGTGTTGCCAAAAATGAAAGTGGTAGGCAGCTCTTTTTTATTATGTTCCTGTCATATATTGCAAATACACTGCCTAGATATATAAAGTGCGTTTTCGAATTCCATTTTATGGAGACATGTTCATGTTATAACGCAAAACTGACTCGTTTTAATGTGAAAGTGTAAGAGTTATCTTTCATTCTTTAGCGCAAGTCTGTATTGTGAGTATTGTACTGTCAGTTATCGCAGCAGCTATATCAGAACCACGAAACAGTTTAATATTATAACTAGAAATTTAAGCCCACCATAAAAATATATATTTCATACGTTAAGTGTTTTATTAGATCAGAATACCGAGCAATAACAAGTTATTCATTACAAAGGTTTCGATGGTAAATGATTATTATAATGGAAAGTTTAATATCGTTACAAAATATACATAGTCGATAATACCAAAATTCTTGCTCAACTTGCAATATCGGATATATAACTATAGCTGACATTTGTGTATTCCGTAATAATAATATAATAATATACAACATTTGATATAGCGCCCTATCTAGCTAACATAAGCCACTCTAAAGCACTTTACAGTACATAGATATACAATTAATACAATTAGGATATTAAAAATTTGAGGAATTCGCAGGAGCTGCTTTATAAGGCGCTAACTACTAGTCCTATGCCACCTGGCTAATATCTCCCTATGTGTGTATGCCTGCGTGTGTGCTGGATATGTATTGTGTCTACTTCCGTAGCGTAAGTAAGGCAAACTAATACGTGAACATGTTACAGTTATCAGGCAGTTTGATGCTAGCTGGGATAGTTCACATGCTTGTTGGGATGACTGGAGTCATAGGAATGTTGATGCGCTACGTCGGTCCTCTTACTGTCGTCCCCACACTTATACTGGTGACCATACCCCAAGCATTTGTACTGGTCAAGTTCTGCGAACCCTCATGGACAGTTACGCTTACGTGAGAATTATTTATACTTTCATTTGGACAAAGAAGTAATAACGACAAAGAAATTTGTCAAATTTTCAGGGCGACCCGCCCCTTTAGCAAGACAGAAACATGAACCTTTTGCCTACAACAAACATTATTCTCGGTAGATTTATTCAAAAGACTTTTTGAATCACTTGACCTTATGTATTCATGATGATCTGTTTTACAAAACATAGCCTTCGGTCACAAACTAACCGAGGGGTTATGCAACAATAACATCATATTTCATCCAAGTTATTACTGTTTTCTTGTTTATGTATTTATTGTAGTATTACTATGTGCCTTATTACGTCTTTGCGCATTGCAGAATTATCTTCTCTTGAGAGCAAATATTGATTGTTACGTCATTGGTTTGTGTGAGAAAATTACGTCGTTTTCTCAAAAAATGATGACGTTACTCTCACAAACAAGTGGCGTAACAATAAATACCTGCTCCCAAGAGAAGATAACTCTGCAATACGCAAAGACGGAATATCTATTTAAGTAATGCACATCCAACCAACATGTGTTTCTATCTATCTATATGTTATACTCCACAGAAACCAAAATGGCTTTCATGCGGAGGGGGTCATACTGTCGTTATTACTTATGAGTTCTTTACATATATTTCCTAGTACCAAGGTCTGATAACCATATATATATGTTACCAATTCTTTAACCAGTAGCCCCCATAGCACAGAACCTTGTTTGTTATCCATGCTGATTAATTCATCAATCGATAATCTAGCTATTACTGATCGGAAACAACTTGTGAAATTTACAGTAGAACGTATGTATAAGCGATGTCATTATGTGTAAGACCGATTTGCGCTTTTGCCCACTTATGGGTCCATCTGTAACTGGCCATACTATCGTATTAATTATACAATTATAAATAAATAACCTGACATGGCGAATCAAACGTTCCACAACCATAAATGATGTTCTATTCACAGAACGGCATTGTCCAGTATTGGTTTTGCAATGTACTTAGAGGGAAGAAATATGCCTATCCCCATCTGGAGTAAGGACAAAGGCTTCACCATAATACATTACCCTTTACAACAGGTTATTTCTGTGAGTGCATCGTTATCTTATTATTTTTATATTTACATATTTAAACTCATTCCTTTTTAAACTACATGTATCAAATTATCGAAATATTTGAAATGTATTTTCAAGTAAGTATTAATACAATTTCAACGCCGTAACCTGTGTCTGGTGCGATTTAATCGGCGCACTTACTGGCTATTTTTTAACCTATGATTTTTTTTAAAATTTAATAATTGTTAGTTTTATAATGTTTCTAGTTATTCGTGTTTAATGCACGGAAACATGAACTTTGCCACAGGATTGCTTCCTATATTCCAGATTATTTTATCAAACAACCATCAAATTATCTTAAGGCATGAGTACCTCGCAAAATTAACTTTTATAAAAATGTCACTCTGCTTAATATGTTTAGGTTCTACTAGGTATCGTTGTTGGCTTATGTCTGTCCGCCATCCTGACTGTAACCAATGTGTTCAGTGATGATCCCTCCAGTCCTGATTACCGTGCCAGGATTGATTCTTCCCTTGGTGATATATCCTCCTCTCATTGGTTTTACTTGCCGTACCCAGGTACTGTCCTATAATTATATATATCCACTGGTTATAATTAGCAAGCGAAGCGTAGATGTTAACATACATTATAGGTTAAAGAAAGAAGCGAAATAGCTTCTAACGATTCTCCACTGAAGCATTTCTAAGGGCGGACTTAGGATTCCGTGTTTCGGGGAGGGAGGTTCGCATTTCAAAGCTTCCCATTTTATCATCTTTTAAGACCGCTTATTAATTGCATCACTCTGCTGAGCTTGTATTTATTAATATAATGTTTTAAAACGAACACAGGATTATTGTTGTGTGGCCATTCAAGCCTTTTCGCTATTTAGCGTCAAAGTTTTAGATTGTTGTGGTGTGTTGTAATTTCATTCTCAATGCCAAAAGGAAAAAACAAATGTGATGTAAAAAGGAACCGATTCTCAAGTAACATAATCACGTATGCGGCAAAAAAACATTTGCGATTCTGTCCACCGATTGATACTGGTGTAAAGTAATACCATTGTCTATGTTATCTTCCTCACAGTTTGTAAATTAAAATTTAAAAATCAATTAATTAGTCATAACATGATGTACTCATTTCATACTACTTAGCTTTTACTTCCGATACATAACAGGTCAGTTTGGCGCCCCAACATTCAGTGTCGGTATATTCATAACGTATCTGATACCGACATTAGTTTCAATTCTGGATTCAATTGCTGATTACTACGCATGCGCAAAAATAGTGCAGGCGCCTCCGCCGCCATTTCATGCAATGAACAGAGGATTGGCAACTGAAGGATTCTTCAGTTTTTTGGCCGGAAGTTTCGGTGCTGGTCATGCGACTACGACTTATGGTCCCAATATTGGTCTGATTGGAATAACTAAGGTAGAACATATTTTTTTAAATCGTTGGTATTACTTCAAATGTAATTTCTTTCCAATAAAACAGTCATAAACGGATGTCAGAACGATTTTTTACATAATATTATAGATATGAGGTGACGCCTTCTGTGTTGCTCATACAAATATAAGACAAATTCCTAATTCTGACATATATTGTAATATTTACCATGCGACTACTAAACGTGGCGTTTACTTAATTTGTAAAACACGGAACATTATTTTTCAGGTTGGCAGTCTTCGCGTTTTTCAGATATTTGGACTACAGCTTGCATTTGTGGCCATTATTGGAAAGCTGTCTGCCTGTTTTATAGCCATTCCTTATCCTGTGATAGGCGGAATCAACATTATATTAGCAGGATCATTCTTCGGCATTATCTTCTCAAACCTTAGCTATGTTAACCTTAATTCAACCCGAAATGTTATCGTCATTGGAATGGCGCTTGTCCTTGGTCTCATGATACCGCATTGGGCAAAACAAAACATGGATAAATTTGAAACAGGTATGTGCTTGATGTGAATCAAACGGGTTGTTTTCCTGTGGATAATGTATAGAAATCTTCCAAAAATCCGCACGACAAAGTATATATCGATGAATACCATTTACAGAAAATCATTAACAGACTTTGACTTACTCTCGAGTTGTATAAGATTTAGAAAAGCTTAAAACCTAGGGGATGATTGACAGCACATGAAAGCTATTTATTCGTGTTGGTACAACATTTTGTACTATTGTAGCAGTTGTCACACTTTAACTGAGAAACAATCGTCAGTGTAAAACATTTAAACGTCATGTCAAATGATACAATCTTATAAATGCGCAATATTTTATCGAGAAAAAAAGCTTCCGTACACATTATTCGTCAAATTTAGTTATTTTCTAAATATTTATGGGCTTGTTGAAATTTTGTGTGCTACACAACATTTTTTATCGTACCCACAAACCAGGTTATTATGATTACTTTGATCTTTTTACTGGTATATAATTCTATTAAATTCATGTATAAGGTGTGGAGATGCGTTGAAAGGAAGTTGTTTCGAAGAGACATTATTATGGAAGGAATTTCAAACACGGATGGAAATGGTCAATTTCAAAGCATTTTTTTCTTAAAACATTCAACATTCTATTGAGTTAACAATAACGACATCTGTTAAATTCTGTTTACAATAGGACAACGGGACGCTATAGCAATTAGATGATCGCGCTATTAACAAATGACACCACTTGTGTAACGTCATTGCAATGTATACTGTCATAATGATGTCTGTCAGGTATTTACAACAGTGCAAAGTTTGATTTAGATACACATGGTGCAGTACACACGTATAACACTCAAAAATAACCCTGGCTATCTAATTAAAAAGAGAGACATCTTCAAGTGCAAAGTTATCATTTTTGAAGAAAGAAAAAAATTAAGACATTTGCGTTGAAACACAGCATTACTCTTGACTTTCATCTCAGCTTTTCAATCATTCAGAAGTTGACTTATAAATATCACGTCAAATATTCCGGTACGCGTCTTCCTCACGTTTGGTTGATATAATAAACAAAAGTCTATCATTTAGGAAATAGTAGCAAAAATAATGTTTTAACTATAGTGACAACAGAAAGAGTTATGGAGAATGACTGAATGTTTATAAGCAGACTTTGTGTTTATGTCCACTTAAAATTGATGTATATATGCTATAAGGGTAGCTAAGCTACAGTAAAAGGAAAAATCGCCAATAATTATATTTGTTATTCAGCCTCGAATCAAAATAATGCGCACAATATAAAACCAACCATTTATTCACTTTTATAAAACCCTCCAGGTATACAACAGATAACTTCCCTGGTGCAAATACTGATGACAAACGCAAACTTCATTGGCGGGTTTGTGGCATGCTTACTCGATAACACATTACCGGGTGAGTATGAAAGGAGTTTTAAATACATATGTATGGAACCCCACGACTGTCTTATCTTCATTGTCTGCATTATGTTGGGTTAACATATCATTATGTTGGGTTGACATGTCATTATGTTGGTTTGACCTGTCATGCCGTTCGGTTGACATGCCATTATATTGACTGGACAAGTCGTTATATTGGGTTTACATACTATGATGTTGTGTTGACATGTCATTATGTTTGGTGGATATGTCGTTATATTGGGTTTATATACCATAATGTTCGGTTAACATATCATGATGTTGTGTTGACATGTCATTATGTTGGGTTGACCTGTCATGACGTTCGGTTGACATGCCAATATATTGAGTGGACATGTCGTTATATTGGGTTTACATACCATGATGTTGTGTTGACATGTCATTATGTTGGGTGGACATGTCATTATGTTGAGTTAACATGTCATTATGTTGAGTTGACATGTCATTACGTTGGGTGGATATGTCGTTGTTCTGTTGACATGTCATCATGTTGGGTGGACATGTCGTTATGTTGGGTTGACATAACATCATGTTCGGTTAACATATCATTATGTTGGGTTGACAATTCATGTTGGGTTGACAAGCATTATGTTAAGTGGACAGGTCGTTGTTCGGTTGACATGCTATAATGTTCGGTTGATATATCATTATGTTGGCTTGACATGTCATGATGTTGGGTTGCCATGTCATTATGTTGAGTGGACATGTCATAATGGTGGGTTGACATACCATGTTGTTCGGTTAACATATCATATTGTTGGGTGGACATTTCATTATGTTGGGTGGACATGTTATAATGTTCGGTTGACATATCATTATGTTGGGTTAACATGTCATGGTGTTGAGTTAAAACTATATAACATTGGGTAATCATGATATCCAGTATTCTAGCCATGTACTTGCCTTAACGTCCAATGGTGTTTAGTCGAAAAAGTATAATGCCGAGAAGTCATGCTCGGCATTATACTTTTTCAATTTTTTTTTCATGCTATGTCTTTAATTGGACTTGTTTTGTTTTGAGTGGGAACAGCATCGTGTTGAGTATTCATGCTATGATGTTGAGTATTCATGCTATGATGTTGAGTATTCATGCTATGATGTTGAGTATTCATGTCATGATGTTGGGTATTCATGCTATGTTGTTGAGTAGCCATGCTATGTTGTTGAGTAGCCATGCTATGTTGTGATTTCATCATGTTGTTATGTCAGTATATGGCATGAATACTCAAAACGATGTACAACTCGGTAATGGTAACTCATAATGGTATATCAACCCAACATAACGACATGTCCACCCACCATAATGACATGTTAACACAACATCATGATATGTTAACCGAATATCATGGTATGTTTACCTAATATAACGACATGTCCACTAAATATAATGGCATGTCAACCGAACGTCATGACAGGTTAACCAAACATAACGACATGTCCACCCAACATAATGACATATTAACCGAACGTCTTGACAAGTCAACCCAACATAATGCTATGTTAATCCAACATAATTCAGACAATGAAGATAATACAGTCGTGGCGTTCCACACATACATATGTACGAATTAGTATGGTGGATGTTTTAGTGTATATCAGCGATTTTCCTTTATCCTATTCCCGTTGACAGGTACCCGCAAAGATCGAGGAATGCTGACATGGATGGGCGTGGGAAGTGACGAGCAAGTTAGATCCTCGGTCTATATGGAGAGCACAGAAGTGTACGACATACCGTTCATCACAGACATTCTCAGGAAGTTTAAAATAGCAAAATACATACCAATATCTCCAACTTTCCACCGGAAATAATAAATTGGGTTATATAGAACGAGCACGTCATGTTAGTGGTATGTGTAAGCGTACAAACGTGTTTTACTGGAGAGCACGAGTCACGGGATAGATTCAAAGTTACAGTAAGATACAAGTGGCCATCGATATTTGAACTGCAAGGTGTACATATTTTAATCAAACAGTTAAACACGTAGGCTTTTACCTATTTCAATTCAATTCAAATCTGTTATTATCGTAAGCAATAAAGCTTATTGGTATTACATTACATGTATTACGCACATTACAATGTCATACAAAGTCAAGTTCAAGCCATACACTATTAGGTTTATTCACTCATCTCATAGACAAGAGGTGTGACAAAGCTTTACACACACAAAAAAATCCAAAATTAAACAGTTCTGTAACATTTTATGTACTTACAAATTTCAAAAGTTTATACATGGATGGCTTGCATCGGTAATAAGGTTAAAATAGTTTTGGTCGGAGGAATTCATATTCTTTACGAATGAAAACAAAATGATATTCATCTTTTCTTCCGTAGTACATATTGGGCGTATACGGTTAGAAACAGCCTGCTTAAACAGTGCGCAGACAAACGAAAACTACAAATCACTTTTTTGAGTTTCAATAAAATTGGCTTTGATCAATAACTCGGTAGGCATATATGGTCTACAAGATATTGGTACAAGTTACACTTTGAAGAAGTTGGGTATATGAAGTTGTTTGCCGAGTGCTATTTTGCTGGCAAGTTCTCAGTTCCCCCACTTTTTTTTTATTAATTATATATATATAAAAAAAAAAAAATTAATTATATCCATTTTGTAGTCCTTGTGCTGCTGATGACGCATGAAAATATGAAATGTTTTTTTTTATTTTTTTTATTTAAACATATTAAAATAATATTACAAATAGTTATAAAATGAAACTTTTCGTTGTTATTGTATCATTAAATAAGATGCCTAAATACCTAGTAAAAAATGGTTATGTGTAACTAAGAGTGTGGTGTTTAACAGTTGATAATTAAACTTAAACAAAACAATTCATCGAAATTCCTAGATGTAAGAAGTATATTATACATGTAACTATCATAAAAATAATTCAATATCTATAATGATCCAAGCTATCATTTCAATCCTGGTGAGCTAGAAGTGATCACAGCCTATGCTAATTAGTGAGATAATGATGAGTTTTAACCATTATCTAAGCACACCTAGAGGACCGGACGATGTGCTTTATGAAGTACGCGAACGCAGCATCACATCTCTTACATCTGGGATAGATTACAACAAATGTGACATTTTGCTTGGCTTTTTTTTTATTATGATGCAACAATCCAACATATTTTGCATTTCAGTATCATTTGTTTTTATTGATAAATAAAATTACTGCCAATTGGAGGGCATTTTTTTTTCTTAAATATCATTCAAAATGATGTCTTATCTACAAAGCGTAGCTGTACTGTACATGTACATGTTTACAATAAAATGTTCCATTGATTTGAAAAATATTTCATTACTTAATTAAGTAAAAAATATCACAGCAGTTCAAAATTTCATATTAAATTGGTTTGATATCTATTCCATGCATTTTCGCTACTAGAAATTATTTACCGATTAATGTTTTTACCATATTCATAAAATCCGACTTGGGGAAATATGGGCAGATTTTAATTTCCACCATAGCTCTTTAAGTATATATTTTAGCTTGTCTTGTATTTGGTGGTTTAAAAAGTGTAATATAAATGAAATGTTATGTATGATTATTGATATATTTGACTGTAAACTCTAACTATTTAGTTATTGTTATATCTGTTTTACAATGTACATCATGTATGTAATGATTGTATCATGAGTATATGCATAAAATAATTTTTGATTATTAACCTAAAATTTGATAAACAGACAATTAAGTGTTTATTATTTTATTTCATCTATTTTGTCACCCCTCCCCCCAATTTCTTTATATCATCTTTATTTCCTCCAAATTGGAGAGCATGATACAATGATAGTACATGAATAATACATTATTTACAAAATGACAACAATCGTGACATTCATACAAGTTCACAAACGTATATACATATTATTAAATATCAGTGATATAATACTGGTTTATGTAGCCAGTAAAAAAATAAATTATAATAATATTAATAATACCAGGGATGTGTACTCCCTGATAATACCATGCCTATGTTCGAATATATTTTTTTTGCATTTTCCTTATATTAAAAAGACAAGTATTTGTAAGACATTATTGTAATAATTATTATTACGTATATAAGTCAAATATTCTTTTTATCGCATATACAGATTCTAGTCTAAATTCTTCTAAATCAATTTCATTTAAATTATAGGTCATTGGGCCTCCTAGTAAAATGTGAATAACTGAATAGTCAGGCAGTGAATGCTGATATGAACTGAGTTCAATACTTGAAATGCAGGCAATTATACACCATAAATTGTCACAAAGATTTTCTGTTACAGAACAATGCAGAATCACATGAGATACAAAATCTGTGTATCAATAGCCACAATGATGACATAAAAGTTGTATGTTACTTACACGTATCGATACAATCAATTTCATTATATATCCGATATTGTCAAGAAAATTTGGGTGACGCAAGGCTAATTTCCATAAATTATGAGGTTTTAGACAGTCATGTAGCAATACAAATCGTGTAAAGTCTGTGTCATTAGACATTCTATGCATCCATGTATTAGTTTCATGGTTTGTTACGGATTTATAAATCAATGACTTCCAATACATTTTATTTGGAAAAACACCATCATCTAGAAATTGTATAATGTATTCATAAAGATTATACTTCTTTAGTAATCGGACAATGTCTGGTATATAACCTTTTTGACTATAATTATCAAAAAATACCTCAAAATGAATACTCTGCAGATTAAGCTACTTCTTTTCATTCTGCTGATCCTGCCTAAAAACAAAAGCTTTTTGATATCGATATACGCCTCTATAGAAATATCCGATTAAAGAAGTACACATATGAGTTCTTGTTCTTTTTCCGAAACCTTGGATTGACTTAACAATAAAATGTTGGGCTCTCTCTAACATCAATAACTCAGTATTTGAAAGTACCCAGAGTTTACAACCGTAAAGCGCAGACGGAAAGACTTTAATTTTTACAATTTTAGCAACAGTTAATGGGTGAGGTGCGCATTGATGTGCCACAGAACGTAAAAGGGCCATAGTACCACTTTTAATTTTTTACACGCTTATTTTGTTCTTTCAATGAAATTGTGCTTAGCATTCAATAAGATAATTACATGAGTAATTTCTGAAACGACAGGCAATATATCATCATAAAGACGTACAGTACAGTTAATGTTTATGATTCTTTTATTTGAAAATACGACAACTTTACTTTTTGACGCAGAATACAAAAATCGCCACTTCCGACTGTATGATTCACAAATAGTTAACATTTTATTTAGACTTGTAATATTTGTACTAACCAAACATATCTCGTCTGCTTGAGTTGGAACATTTACAGTTTCAAGTCATTAATAAAAACTAAGTACATTTTGGCTGAGAGAGCCCCGCCTTGTAAGATACCTCGCTCCATCTTTACTGGTGCGGAGGTTAAACCATTAAAAATTATAGAACTGTGTATATCCGTGTACATATAATTTAAAATATTCCACACTTTACCAGTAAGGCCAATATCATACAATTTTACTAGTAGACCGTCGTGCCAAACGGTATCAAACGCCTTAGCGCTATCTAAAAACGACACATATACATCTGAACCATTTTCCATATTATAATATACACATTCCTGCAAATTAAACGCAATACAAAGACTACATAGATTCTTCGGATATGCTGACTGTTGCTTGTTTGGGAATATATCAGACTCTATTATATTGTTTATTCTCTTTGCAATAGCCATTTTAAACATTTTAAAAAATACTGACAAGAGGGTTATTCCCCTATAACTGTTAGGATCATCTTTCGGTTTTCCGTGACCTTTATATAGAGTTACTATAATTCCCTGTTCCAGTTTTTAGGAATATATTATTGTTTAACAACAAGATTGAATACATTCTGTATATGGTAAATTACAGAGTTTCCTGCATATTTAATATGTTCATATACCAGAACTTCATGTCCGCCTGCTTTATTTAACTTCAGGTTTTTGCCAATTAGATTGATTTCACTAGACGTAAAAATATCATATAAAAACAAGTCTTCATCAGAATGAATACTAGATTTTAACATTTTGATTCTGTTTTCAATCTTGTCGCGAAAATGACATTCAAATTCTTTAGCATCGTGTTTTTTAAATATATTTTTAAAGTGTAGAGACCAACCTTTTATAATATCATGGGGATCTCTGAAAAGTTTCCCTTCATATTTCAGCTCAGTTTGTTTCACCTTCGAGGCTGATTTGTTCCTTTTGAAAAGCTGCCATAAAAGGTTCTGGTCAAGTTCGCCCGATCTATCAATTTCAGCAAATTGGCTTTTCATATACAATGTAGGATTCAAATAATTTCCTCAGTTGACGTCGAAATTCTTATTTTACAGTTTTTATATTCAGAAAATGTTCGACAATATCGTCTACGCTTTCCGGATCGTATCCACACATATCTCTTCCGTAACATTTCATTATGGAGCGTTGTTAGACTTTCATCCCAGTAAGGTTTTTGATAATTTCTATATACATTTTTGGGTATACACTTATCTGCTGCTTCAAGCAGGGCCGAACATATGTCGTTATAGTAAAAATCTATATCTTGGAAGGATGGATTTTCATTAGGTACTGTGATACAATCCAGTAAACGTTTTACATAACATTTATAATTACATATTGAACCGTCATTCAACGCTTTTTTCCACTTATATCTGTTACAACGTGATGTACTATCCGTAAAAGATTTGGGTATACGTACTGAACAAACAATAGGACAATGTTCTGAAACATTTGCATTGTCGTCTAAAACTTTACAGTACAAGGCAAGATCTGTGGACTTTGACTCAATTAGTATATGATCAATTGCAGTTGAGTTATCCGTTGCGGGGTAAAATGTGCATACAGGACCTATGCATTCAGACTGAACATTTAACGAAATCATGTTAGTTCTATCTAGAAATTGTTGGAATGACCGAGAACGATTGTTTTCTGTAAACTGATAGCGGTTGCCTCGTATTTTTACGTTAAGGTCACCTATTATAAACACTTTACCTTTCTCCGAGTAAAATGTCAATATGTTCTTGAAAGACCTCAAAAGGCCGTGAAGAAGCAGGCATATATACTGAAAACCAATATGTATATTCTCCACTAGGTGACTGTAATTCAAGCCCGACATTTCTAGGACTGTCTATAATGATTTCTTGTACATTAAGATGCGACTTATATAACAAACACACACCACCTCTTATACTACATTTGTAGCGGTAGGGGTCTACTTCATGAACAGGTTTTACAATACATTTATAACCAGAATGATTTAAACTATTGAAAAACGACAATTGGTATTCTCTCACCCAATGTTCTCACAATCCACATATATCTATATCGTAAGTGTTGAGACCGTTAAGGAGATAAGGCATCCCGGCCATTACCCCTTCACAATTCCAGCACATGGCATTGACTATGTCACTTTTGGTCATTATGTTCATTCCACAACACCTGTCGTGGCGTCCATGGCCTCGAGTATATACCCGGAGGCCAAAAGTCAGGATTGTCAAGAACGGACGAATCTGCGTCTAGAACATTCAACTGTGCGGATGCCGTGTTCTTGTACCGTCTACAAGTCAGATAGGTAACTTTTACACAGGTAAGTTACCCGTGGGGAAAGTATGAAACAGACTATAATTGGTTTGCCATCGTCTTCTTATATCAACACTTTTCTTTGTTCTATAAAAAGTGGGGGGACTGAAAGCACCCCATTTTGGCCCACCCCATCTGGTGTGCTGATGATATACATGTAACACTGTATATGTAATCCTCATTTATTATTAAAATAAATCATGAAAAAGTTAATTTACTTATACTAATCACTGTTGGCCCGGTCGGTCACGTGGTCCTAATGCGTGAGAAAACCAGAGTACCCTGAATAATCTAACGTGGTCCGGCAAAATCGGAGGAATTAAACACCTGAGGTATCGATGAAGGCGAATGCGCAATCAGGTGCGACACTCGACTACCCTATTCCACACTGTTTGTACTGGGCTGATATGAATATTGTTCATATTGGTTATTGTTCATACATGTTTAGGGTATTTAAGGTAATGTGAAGGACATTTCAGACATACCGTACAGTACCAGACAAAATCATCTGTCATATTTTCAGGCCTATCTGCTTTTTTCAAGACAGTGCAAAAACTACTACCTGTTCTCAGGTTCCTATTTGCCATGCAAGTTAGAATATCTGACAGAGTGGCTACTGTCCTGGTTGACATCACTGGCCAGACAGAGGAAATACCCACATACTATGATAGGTCACGTGCAGGATACCAAATGAGAGATAATTTACCAGTAAAAATTCCGAGTTAATTTGTATATTATACTGTAGGTGGTATCAATATAAGATGAAAGGTTTATGAAGGGATTTTGTTTTAATATCAAAGATTTGCGTTATAATGCGTTTTACATATACAGGCAACAGGTTATATTATACAGTTATAGAATGATTGGGTATGAGGGAAATAGCACATTTATGGTCCCCCGGAGATGAAAAACTATTCCCCGAGGCGGCGAAGCCGTCGAGGTGAATAGTTTTTCACCAAGGGTGACCATAAATTTGCTATTTCCCGAATTACCCATTTTATAACTGGTTTATTATAACGAAACAAAGTATTCACCCAGTAAAGGCAATTTAACAAATGAATTTGTTTATGCATTTCCTTTTACAATTTCAAAGACTGAAAGAGAAAAAATACAATTGGAAGTACTGTATGCATCGTCGTTGATGATATTTTCATTTCTTGCATTCAAGAAGTGTTTTTATAGACTGAATCTCATAGTCACCATTGTTTTCCTACCATATATAGATCTAGTCCTAGACACTTTTTTTAAAAGAGTTTGCATGATCCTACTCGTCGACGCTTCCGGCATTCCGTTCTGTTGAATAAGTTTGAAGTGAATACACTGCAGTCTTAATAACAGCTTTCGTATTTAAGCTACGTTTACGGTCAAAAATCTACTGCAACTCCTCTTTACAACACAAAACGGCCTTCATCGGTGGCCATTTTCACTGGTGTCATTTGGTTCTGAAAATGTGCATCACGAGTGTCACGGAGAGGGCCCCGCCTACCAATGTTTTCATTGGTTGAAATATTATAAGCTCCGCCACCAATGTTTTCATTGGTTGAAATTGTATAAGCTCCACCTACAAATATTCATGAGGGAGTAGTCCTCTTTCTGGCAGGGAGTAGTCCTTTTTTGCAGGGAGTAATTCTAATTTGGGGAGGGAGTAGCTCTCAGATGGAGATATTTAAGTGATTTAAGGGAAATAGCAGATTTTATCGTATTGTTTTCATATAGGGAAAACTCAGTAGAGGTATAAGAAAATACATTACTTCCGTATTGACATATATATATAACAAGTTTCACTTGTAAGTTTAATTTAGTTTAAACATATTTTATTGCCAAAAAATGCACTTATAAGATAAATAATTGTATATACACATCATAAGATAGCTTTCATAGTTTAAATCACTACATTTATCTATTATTGAGAGAGAGAGAGAGAGAGAGAGAGAGAAAGAGAGAGAGAGAGAGAGAGAGAGAAAGAGAGAGAGAGAGAGAGAGAGAGAAAGAGAGAGAGAGAGAGAGAGAGAGAGAGAGAGTGTTACTGATTTATTGCAGTTTATATAATGTACATCTCAATATTCAACATATAATGCACACATTCATTCTTACTTATATTTACAAATTATGGTATATTTTAAAAATTTGGTCATGAAAATGGAACCATCCAGCACAGTCAGCGCAGTGATATCCTGGCACTATTCCATACTTTCAACTATTCAACAGTTAGTCACGTCCCGTGCTTTGTGGCTTTCTCCTTTTCACTCCATCCTTTCTCGAAAATTCGTTTCTACCGCACTGGCTGTAACTGAATGGCCCATCACATGCCTATATTACATACATTCAAGCACACGCACACTTCTTGCATCCACGCTCTCGTGAAAGTTAAACATTACAGAGGATTACTAAAATAATAAGGAACACACAAGTGCACGTTATGCCCTGTAATACGGACACAAGCTAAGAAATGAATATGAATGAAAATGAGGACTGTTGGAGAGGAGACAGAAGAACGTGACCTTTAAAACCTGTGAGTACTCGATACATACTGTTGGACATATATCAATACATTTTTATTTTCGTCACTCGAATAATCTTCATGGCCATACAATAATTTCTCTAAGCTTAGAGGTAAGTATTCATGAATATTTCTAAACATTTCAAATCTTTGATCAGTATATATACTTGTCAACAGACGACATTAAATGCCTCTGGTGATATGGTACATAAATGCTGTACGTTTTACCGATCTTTTTTACTAAAACCTTAATGGTTACCCACCTCGATTCAAGTAAAACACACCGGGATAATTTTGAATACTTTGCTGTCTTTATTCAGATTTCAGACGTATGGCAGGCAGGCAGGCAGGCAGGCAGGCAGTAGATGATATAGGTATACACAATCTAATTAAAATCAGATCTCTCATTACACTCCATAACGTAGTGTAATGAGAGATCTGATTTTAATTAGATCGAGGTATACAATAGTTAAATTACTGATCCCCAAACACTGTATTACACCTGCCTGTTGTCAATAACGGTGCAAGGATATAGCCATTTATTTTTTAAGGTTGATAGATCAGTTGATCGTATGGTTAAATAATAATACTACAGTTTGTAACTTTGCTTTAGACAATCTCTTACCAGCGCGGAAATAGGACTCTAGACTCACTATAATTTGAATTCCTGTATGTACTCTGTTGTTGACCTATTTTTGTGGCTGTCAAGTCTGATGAAAACTGGTAGAGTATATTGTTTAACTGAAATTCAAACCACGCTAATTATTTAACTTCTACATTTAAAAATGTTTGGACCATAATAAATACTTAAAAAAGGTAAAGACAAAATATAAACATTGTATTTATTACTTTATTTATTGACGAACGATAAAAACTGACATAGAAATCAAATTTTGATTATATTTAACTCAGTTTTAATGTCACTGTCAACAGCATGCATAGACTTTACGAATATTCGATTTAAATAAGGTATTGCGTTAATAGCGAGAACGACAGGAATCAACAAATTGCAACCGAATACATAAATCTCCGGTATGTAGCCATTAAAAGTCGAAAAACAAATATATATGGCAGGTCTAAATATAAGCATGATAAACGCGTAGAACATGCAAGCATCCTTCAGAAGTCGATTCGAACCCAAACAAACTGAGCATTGAACACCATCATCGCTCCAACAATCCTTGAAAACCATACATTCCAGTTTTTCATCCGGCTGTCCTGAAAAAATATCATAATATTTCAAATTAAAATATTTCTAAAAACCGTATCCCAGACATACAGTTTAATTATTATGCCAGACCTTCTATTTAAATCTTGCATATATTGCATACACTTTTTGAATCCATTTCCTCATTGCTGAAGTACATGTACCTGATAATATGATAATAATGCAAAAAGAGTTTTCTTTTATGTTACTGCTGCAACTGCAAAACATTGATTCAAACACATCAAAACACAAATAAAGATGTAAAGCAGATAAATCGCTGTCAGAGTCAAGTTGGTGAAAACTTCAGGATAATCTAAATTTGTATTTGTGATTCGAGGAATATTCATTATTTTCCATTCTTATTAAGAATTTCACGTAGTTATATTTTTATATATAAATTAACCTATTCAGTTATGCCCATTTCAAATGCAGAGTAAGAAAATAAACTTATTGAAACTTAACTCTGTGATATGAAAGGAAAATCAAAATGTATAAACACCTATGCACATTTATATTCAATTTGGATCTCAAGACAACTAAGCACGCTTACCTTTGTGTGAGTTCAATGTTTTCAGTAACGCAGTTAAAGCTGGACCGTAAATGAATAGTGTTTCCATCAGCACCGGAAGAATATGTGCACGTGCCGCATGCGGACAGGTCGGCAGTGTTCCAAATGCAGCGGTTAATATTAGGTCACGTCCTGACGTCCTATAAATCCAGATCACTGCACCAGTAATTACTGCGAAGTATGAAATAGTTGCACAACGAACTGCTGTTTGTATCTTTTTGGGTAAGTTGTTCAATATTGCCTGATTAAGTAATGCAACTAAATTTATAACTGATAAAAAAATAGCACAAGTACGAAAGTCTACACAACAGTTGGCATATTCCGAAGATTTCCCCGTGCTAAGGTGTTGGTAATAATTAAACAGAAACGAAAAGCTTAAAAAGCTGTCGTCAGGATTCACACTGCATCCGGTTATACCCTTGAATAAGGCAATAGTCAAACTGATTTGTATAGTCAGCCCCACTGCCGATATCGTCAAAAAGGAACTTGTATTCCGACATCTGGCCTGAAACACTAGGATCACAAACGCTATCAGTATCGCAAACAGGGCTACAGTAAACACAGCGAAGCCTGCGACAAGCAATAGGCCTACATAATGCGCACTTGGACGATCCATCTCGTCAACAGCCTCAGTCGTTTGTTGAGGCATTGATGTGAGACCAGTGTGACATGGTTATGGCCGTTTGTAATCGTACAGTAAGAAGTAAAGACAGTCCGTACAGCACATGTCAAAGCTCCCAATAATGACATTGTTTATCGCAAGAACAGATATCGATTAGGCTGTAGCTTGACACATACAATCATACAGACTATCTGTTATGTTTTATCCTGCTCTCGGGTAAATACGGATAATGCGCATGATCAGGACATGAACTGACACGCCTTGTCAGGGTCTCCCTTAAAAGCGACTTCAACCGACAACAAGCGTCTTCAAGTGACAACAAGCGTCGCCAGACAAAATATTCAAAAATACTGAATAAAGTAAGCGACATCAGAAGATATGTTGTTAATATGACAATAATACACCTCTGTACCAAATTTCAATTTAATATTTGAAAAATTGACCGAGTTATGATGATTGAATTTTTACAATCGCGGTGTAGCACATGTGTGTATATAAGTGTAAAGTGAAGAAAGCGTCGCCAGATAATATCGTTAAAATTACTCAAATATCGAGCTGAAATTTGGAATATATATCAATAAAAGTCTAACTAATAACATATCCTCTGATGTCACTTACTTTAGAGGGTAATTGTAACGATATTATCAAGGTATGACGCATTTACTGTATCAGACAAAAGTCTTCAAAGCTTTCATATATATATATCTGATCGGTATAAGTTTAGGAAAATTTTCCATAGTTTAAAAAGAATACACATATACATTAAAACTGTCCAGTCTCAACAGCAGCAGTAGCAGCAAGGATATCAGCATAATCCCAGACAAGGATATCAGCATAATCCCAGAGAAGGATATCACCATCAGCGACAGCAACAGCAGCAGCAGAATCAACGACAGCAACAGCAGCAGCAGCAACAACAAAATCGGTGCGAAGGATGTGGTAAGTCATGTCTTATCAGATCACAATGTCCCGCTTACAACAAAAAGTGTTCATTCTGTGGTTTTTGGAACCACTTTCAATCTGTATGTAGGAGGAAACGAAATAACCTTCCCCACAATAACAACATCTCCCAAAATAACAATTTTCACTAGGGGTACGCGCCTGTCCCTAGCAAGGATAGGCACCTAAACCATACTAGCACTCCTGTTCATAGGGCACCACGTACTAACATGACTGACAAAAATCTTACTTCCAACCCACAAAATAACAATTCTGGACTACACTCTACTAGTGTTAGAAACTCACAGTTCTCATCATCTTCTGTCAGTACACAGGTAACTAATGTCAACCTGGTCACCCCTGTTGATAAGAATACAGTGAACGTTGAATTGTATGGCACCCCAGTTAAAGCCCTGGTTGACACAGGAGCATGCATATCTTGTGTAGCCTTACCATTGTTAGACAGAGTCAACTTTGATATGTCAACGTTACAAAAGTGTTCTTCCATTAGTGTCCTAGTAGCAGGCGGTGAAAATCACTGCAGTTTAGGTTCAGTATCCTTACCTATTTCTTTTGGAGGTCTGCTAATAACACAAAATTTCCATGTATTTGAAAAATTATATCAACCCCTTATTCTAGGTATGGATTTTCTTGAGGATAATCGTGCTGTTTTCAATGCATCTTTAAAAACTCTGCATCTAAAGGAACCTTCTACTGGCAGTCTTTTCAGTAGACACAAATGTTGGGATAGCACGAACTTCCACTCATACTACTGTTCCTTCTATGTGCATATAAAACATACAGGTAGAGGTATCTAGTCTCCCTGTAGGGTCCAGTACCTTACTTGAACCTCTACCAGATCTCCCAAAACTAGGTCTTACAGGTGCTAAATGTGTGGTAGTCATACAGTGTGGTAAGAAAACTGTGCTTCAGGTGATGAATCCTACTGATAAAGATATAGTTGTTTCTAAGAATAAGGCTGTAGCATCAGTATCTATTATCGACAATGACAAGGTAACACCTCTTGATTCGCCATCCAATCTGATGAAAGAAAATCATGCTACTTCATCTTCTCCAACTCCTCCTAACTCTGACATATCTGATCTGTCAATTGGTCTAGAAGACTCTGATCTGTCTGAGAAACAGCAAAATATTCTCCAAGCTTTTCTCAATCGCAACAGATCTGTCTTTGCTACCAATTTAGCAGAACTCGGGAAAACTAACCATATGTTTCATACTATTGAAACAAGAGATGCCACTCCTATTAAGCAAAGATAGTACCGTCAATCTCCAGAGGTAAAAGCTGAGACTGAACGCCAAGTTCAAGAGATGCTTGAGAAAGATATTCTTTCAGAATCAACATCTATGTGGCAGTCCCCCGTGGTTATGGTGAAGAATACAAATGGTCAGTTACGCTTTGCTGTCGATTACAGAAAGCTTAATGCTGTTACCAAACAATTCCCTTTTCCTCTTCCTCGCCTAGAGGATGTCTTTGATTCCATCGGGGAAACTAAGGCTCAATTCTTTTCTAGCCTTGATCTTGCCTCAGGTTTTTGGCAAATACCCATGGACTCCCAAACAGCACACAAGTCTGCATTTGTAACACCAACAGGTGTGTATCAGTGGAAAAGAATGCCATTTGGTCTTGTTAATAGTCCAGCAAGTTTCCAATCTCTTATGACAAAAGTATTGAGAGACTTAAATTGGGAAACCTGTTTGGTCTATTCAACAAGTGTTTGACCGTCTTCACTCTGCTGGTCTTACCCTCAGACCTAGCAAATGTTCTTTCGCACAACCTCGTGTACACTATCTTGGTCATGTAAAAGGCTACAGCAAGATAGCAACACCACTGAACACTCTCCTAAAAAAAGAAATTTGAGTGGACTTCAGATTGTCAGGTATCCTTTGATTCTCTCAAAACATCTCTCACTTCACCTCCTGTACTTGCTTACCCTGACCACTCTAAACCCTTTATCCTTACAACTGATGCCTCAGGAGAAGCTATCGGCTATGTGCTAGGACAACTTGATGACCATAAATGAAAGAGAGTTATTGCCTACGTGGGACGTTCACTTAATACTTGTGAGCGTAAGTATAGCATCTCAGAAAGAGAAGGACTTGCAATAGTTGAAGGAATAAAGAACTACCATGTCTATCTAGCAGGTAAGCATTTCGCCATTTACACAGATCATAGCGCACTCAAATGGTTGAAAGACATCAAGCCAGAATCAACAGGTAGGTTAGCGCGATGGTCAGTGTTATTGCAGGGTTACGATTACGTAATTGTCTACAAAACAGGTAAGACAAATGAGGTCGCTGATGCACTGTCAAGACGATCCTACACCAATACAGAATCGTATCCAATAGAGGACAGTGTACCATCTGCTGACGTAGCGACAGTACAAAACAAGGATTCCTTTTTACAGGTGACATTTGAGTATCCTCATAGTAGAGGCACCCGCTATCAACCATCAGCTGAGTCTATCTCTCACATATCCGACACTGTTTCCCTTGATTCTGTTGCAACCTTGCAGTCTCAATGTTCAGACTTTTCTTCTCTTTACCATTACCTTCAAACAGGTATACTACTTGCGGGTAAAGTGAATGCGGACAGCGTTCTCTCTCACTCTCACCAGTATGTCTTACTTGACGATACTCTCTACCACCTCTATTACTCTCGCTCAGCTCGTAATGGACAACCACCAGTACGCCAGCTAGCTGTACCTCGATGTTTGAGAGAAGATGTTTTAAGATCCTACCATGACTCTCAAGCAGGTGGAGCACATCTAGGCCTTGATAGAACCTATCATGCAATACAACTCAAGTATTATTGGCCTAAAATGTACCAAAATGTGGAAGACTACATTCGCTCATGTGATACATGTCAGAGAGTTAAGAATCGTACTAACCTGAAGAAAGCCCCTCTTACTCCGATGCCTGTGACAGACACTTTTTCCCGTCTACACATGGATATTTTGGGTCCAATTACCACTACTAAAGAAGGCTACAAGTACATCTTACTTGTTGTAGATTCTTTTAGTAAATGGCCCGAGGCTTTTCCCCTCAGGACACAGGAATCTAAAGAGATTGCTAGAATACTTTACTCTGAAATTTTCAGTAGATATGGTGCCCCACATTCTATTGTTAGTGATCGAGGACAGAACTTTCTTTCTAAGATTGTGACAGCTGTCTGTGAAATTTTCCAGGTCACCAGACATTTCACAAGCTCCTATCATCCTCAAACAAACTCTACTTGTGAGAGGATGAATAGCACACTAGCTCAGTGTCTGCGAGCCTATGTTGATAAAAATCAACAGAACTGGACAGAATTCTTACCAGGAATTCTTATGGCATTCCGCATGAGTCCATCAACTCAATCCTCTGAATTGTCTCCATACCATCTTTTATATGGGAAAGAGATGAATCTTCCTTTTGATACTTCTCTTATGCCTAAACAAGGTCTCAATAAAGACGCTAAGTCTCATGTCACTGCGCTTCTACCACACCTCAAGTTTGTGAAAGAGTTAGCTGAAGCAAATATTAAAAGTGCCAAAACCAAACAAAAGCAACAGCATGATCGAAAAGCAGCAGTGCCTCAGTTCAGAGTTGGAGATCTTGTGATGCTGCACTCAACCAGAGTACCACAAGGTCTGTCCCCCAAACTGCACCATCCTTAGGATGGCCCATTCTGCATCACGGATGTAGGTCCAAACCATACATACAAACTCCGACGGTGTAGTACACACAAAGAGATAAAATCTCTGATTCATACAAACAGACTAAAAGTGTATACAAATCCCACAAATCCCACAAATCCACAACTTGCATCATGCCCAACGGCAGCAGCTTGCCAACCCTAAACCAATAGATGCCGATTCGCATCAATCACAACAACAATCACAATTTGATTGTCATTCCCAAGATGTCAAATCACATCAATCTCAAAGAAAACATCACAAAAACCCTCAATCTGGACAGGACAACTTGCGTCGTCCCATACGGCAACATCAAGCCAACCCCAAATCCAATGATGCCAACTCGCATCCAACCAATGCATCAAACTCAAAGGACGATCTTCCTTCTTCGTCTCAGGGAACACACACTCAATGTCAAAAAGCGACAAAAACATGCATTCCAGCACACAGGATTCCCAACGTACATATCCAATTGACAAGCTGATACGTTACAGGATTCGTAACGAAATTAAGGAATTCCTTGTCAAGTGGAAAGACTAATCTGCACGAACATGGGAACCTGAAGGTAATCTACCTCCCTCATTAGTTCGTGAGTTTCATGTCACAAAGACACAACATG